TTTATGCCCTTCATTTTTGTATATGGTGGGATGTAGGGAGCCAATTTTATTTTTTTTCCATATTGATAATTAATTGCCCGGCATCATTTATTATTTAGCCCTCAGTTTTCCCACTGGCTGATTTTAAATGCCACCTCCAACAACTATCATAGTTCCTCAAATGCACAAACCTCTTTCAGGCTCTCTTTTCTGTTATTTTTTTCAATGTTTTTATCTCTATATAAATCCTGCGTTTTCTTAATTTAAGTAACTTTATATTTTCTATATAAATACTATGTTTTCTTAATTTCAGGAGCTTTATATTTTCTATATAAATACTACGTTTTCTTAATTTCAGGAGCTTTATATTTTCTATATAAATACTACGTTTTCTTAATTTCAGGAGCTTTATATTTTTTATATAAATACTACGTTTTCTTAATTTCAGTAGCTTTATATTTTCTGTATAAATACTATGTTTTCTTAATTTCAAGTAGCTTTATATTTTCTATATAAATATTACATTTTCTTAATTTCAGTAGCTTTATATTTATATTTATTCTTGACGCCTGATGGGATATATTCCTCCACTTTCTTCATTTCCTTCATTAGAAATATTTTACCTGTTTCTGGTCTTTGGTTATGTTATATAAATTTAAGAATTATTTTATCAAATTCCACAGAAGCCCTGTTGAGATTTTGGGTGGAATTTCTTAGCATGCGTTTGTTAAATAAGGATCATGTTCAATTTTCTCCTAAATTTTTCATTCATTTTCAACATTTAATAATCATTCATTGAGTCACTATAGTGGGTCCTGCGAATAAGACAGAGAAGGAACATGACCTTCAAACTCAGTTAAGTAGCAGTAAAGTTGGAGTGGGGCATCCAGACATAACTACAATACAACAATCATAGCAAACTTTTTATCGGATGTATCATGCGTCAGACACATTTTCAAGCAGTTTACGTATGTTGTCTTATTTAACCCATAAAAACATATAAAGTAGATAGTATTATATTCTCTAGTTGAGGAAGTTGAGGTCCCAAAGTAGAAACAGCCCAAATATTTATTGATGATAAAATGGATAAATAGGTTTTTAAAAAAAATGTTGACACATCAAAATATGATGCAATGGCTGAAAGTGAGTGAAGCATACACAATAACAGGAAAGACTCAGAAACATAATAAATTTGAGCAGTCAACACATTAGAAGAGGGAACAAGTTATAGTGCAGTTTTTAATAAGGATTAAGTAAGTTGGAGGAGCCTAGATTCCCTCATTAGCAGGGGTAAGCAAAACCATAACGCTTGGTGCGAATCTGATCTGCCACCTGTTTTTATGAATAAAGTTTTATTGGAATACGGCCATGGCTGTTCACTTATGCGTTATCTGTGGTTGCTTTTGCACTGTGAGAGGCAGAGTTGAGTGATGGAGACCATCCGGGCTGCAGAACCTCAACTGTTTACTGTATGAGTCTTTACAGAAAAAGTTTGCCAATCCCTGACTCTGGCTTGGGTAACTGGGTGAATGAAATTCACTAATTTTGGAAATCCACAAGGTAAGTAGTTTACCTTGGGACAAGATGAATTGGCAGTGTTGATGTGAACATTTGACTGTTGATTCTCAAGTGAGTGTGTAGGCTTCTCTACTTTGGGCATTTATTATGATATTTGCATAGATCATTTGATGTCAACTCCAATATTGTACTCTGATTTTAGTGTCCTTTTTAATTTAGGGTACAAAGGATTTTTAAAATTCTTACTTTTGAGGTTGGCTATAGGTTTAAAATGTCAAGAAGAGAAGATTTTAAGTGCTCCCAACTCAAATAAATGATAAATTTTGAGGTGATGGGTATCCTAAATACCATGATTTGATCACTGCACATTATATGCATATATCAAACTATTACATGTACCCCATAAATATGTATAATTATTATGTATAAATAAAAAAATTAAAATGTGTTTAAATGACCAAATCCAACTGTCTTTGGTTTTGAGTAAGCTGAAAGGTCCTTCAGCTGTCTGTCATAACAATGAGAAATTCTCACTCTTCTTATGTATATTTCTTATATGTATTTTTAATGAAATACAATGAGATATTCTTTGGGGTATCAAAAACAGTATAATAAACGCAAGCATTTCTGGTGCTTTAGCTTGAAACGAGGTCTGCACTTAATGACCAAGGAGAATAAGAAGTTGGCATGGTTCATTTATTATTCCAATATAATATTAATTCTGTCCACACTAGTATAGAAATAAATGGTGTATAAGTCATGATTAAATTTTCTGCTGGTGGAAGCATACATGTGTGCAGCCACTTTAGAAAATTGTTTTACAGTATATCCAAAACTACACATACACCTACCCATTGTAGGTAATATCCAAGTGAAAGAAGTGTTTATGTCTACCAAAAGATATGCACCAGAATGTTTGTGGCAGCTTTTCATAGAGCCAGAAACTGGAAGCAGCTCAGATGTCCATCAAAGGAAAATGAATTCACAAACTGTGGTATATTTATACAATGGAATACCACACAACAGTAAGAAGGGACAAGCTCCTGACACATGCAACAACATGGATGAATCTCAAAAACAACGTGTCGAACAAAAGAAGCCAGATAAAAAAGATACTGAGTGATTCCACTTGCATTTCCAGAACAGGCAAAGCGACTCTGTGACAACAGAGGTCAGAACAGTGTTTATCTGTAGTGTCCAGGTCAGTGGTTACCGGGTAAATCCATGGGGAATATTTTTAGATGTTGAAAATGTTCTGTCTTGCCCTGGTGATTGCACGGGTGTATACACACGTAAGAGTTCACATGTAAGTGATGCACATCTAGGTTTGTGCATTTTATGTAAGTTACACCTCATTAAACAAAGAAAACATTGAGCAGTTTTCTGAGGTGCCTGGGGTGCATATATTCTGTGTGTGTGAGAGAAGAGTTCCCATGGACATCAGATACTGATATAGGAATCTTAAAGTTTATGATCTCTTATGAAAGCAGCAGATCCTACAACAGACACCAGGGCCTACTTGAGAGTAAAGGGTGGGAGGAGGGTGAAGACTGAAAAGCTACCTATTGGGTACTATGCGTCTTACCTGGGTGATGAATTAAAGCTGAATACCAAACCTCATGACATGCAATTTATTTATATAACAAACCTGCACATGTACCACTGAACCTAAAAGTTAAAAAAGAAAATGACAGGTCCTGACTTTTATTCTTTCCCAAGGAGGTTCCACTTCACTTCCCAATGGAAGTTAGCTATAGAGAAAAAAAAAAAAAAAAAGTTAACTTTTTTCCCTAAAGAAAGTTTTTGATTTGCTCATGTATTTCAGCAATTATTATTTGAGATCCTGGGATTCCATTCACAGAAAATGGAAAATCCTAGGGGTAGAGTTAGTTGCCCCAACTGTAGATGGACCTGAGGATACGTCTCTTGTGCAGCTGTTTTGTAACAGGTCTGCCAAGATGAGCTGGCTGCGGAGATATTTCCGTGAAGCTGAAGAGTTAACCTGGCTTTACTCTGTGTTCCTTAGTATCTCCCATTTGAATGTAATTTAGATTTTGGCATAGTTAATATTGAGCTATACTTCCTTGTGGTAACTTGGCTGTTTCAAGTCATCGTTAGTTCATGATAGTCAAACTATGTCATCAATACCGTTCAGTTCTACTTTTAAATGCATTTTATTCTATACTAACTTTGAAATGTATGCTCCACATATGAGCTGGACGGCGATTATTACTTAAGATATTTACCTACTGAATCTGTAATATCCAGTCCAGCTGCGTATCAATTTTCTAAAATGAACATGTGTTATTTTAATCAAATAATTTATACATATGCATATATATGTGTATATATACATTATGCATTCTCTCTCTCTCTCTCTGTAGTTATCTTTCATGAATTTCACTGGGGATTCCACTGCACAGCTTCATAAGAAGCTCTGGTGTATCATATCTCAAACCAAACTCCTTCATCTTCTTCCTGCAATTTAAGACTAGCATCTTCATGGAGACAGTGACTGAAACCATAGAGGTGCTCTCCATCTCCATCCTCATTCTATCACACAAGGAGGTGTGTGTGTGCTAACTTTGCAGGATTTCTCCTCTCCATATTCTTCATCCTTATGTTATTATCCCTCCAATCCATTCTTCTAAAATCATAGGGGTGATCGTTCTAAAACACAAAGCTAATCATATTATACCCTTGTCAAAAGTACCATTGCCTCTCGGATTAAATTCAAATTTCACAGCCTGCCAGGGACGTGATTACCTGACTCCTGCCTACTTAATTTCTTTATTGCTGGTTAAATCTCTTCTTATTCAAGATCTGTGCTCCAGCCATGCCAAGTTTCTTGCAGTCGTCTTCACTCGCCAAGTTAACGTAAGCCGTTGTACGTGTGGTTCTCTTATGTTACTCGCTTCCACCCTCCACCTACACAATACTCAAGACTGAACACAACCCCTGCTCTGACTTGCTTCAGCTACTCATTTTTCACCACCCTGTGCACAGCAACATGTGCGTTCATATGCTGTTCCCCAACTTGAATGTCCCTATCAATTCTCTTCATCTTTCCCGGCCTATTTTAACAGACAGTGGAGATTCCGAGGCTATTTTAATAGATAGTGGCGATAGTTTAGATTCAGAACCTGTTCAGGGACTATAGAATTTGGATCTTCCCTGTTGCCAGGGCCTTCCTGACAAACTAGAACAGCCTTTGTGGGCATGAGCGGAAGAGCAGGAGCGAGACCTCTGGTCACATCTTGTCACGCCATGGTTGTATGGGAGGAAGCAACTAAAGCAAACAGGAAGCTGAGAAATTGGCCAACTGGGGACATTCCTGATAACCACTCTGGATATTTCAGAGGAACGAAAGCCTTCAGAGCTGGGCTTGGACGAAGGGAACTGGGCTGCCAACTGTTGCTTTGCTGTGTAGATACAGCTGGTCTTAGACATTTGCATTTGATTATATTTTACTTGTTCTGATGTCTAAATCTATCTTTTGACAGGAATACCTAAAAGAACAAAAGTTCTGCATTGAAGATTCCTTGTGAAACACTCGGGGTTGTAGGTAACTTCTTTTTCCCTATGAATCAAAATCTTTCCATTAAATTAATAAAGAGTTCTCGGGTTGCAGGAGAGCCAAGTTTCTGTCATTCTCCGTTACACATTGGGAAATGGGAAAGAGAAGAAAGAAACGTGCTGGAACGCGGAGAGCCAGCCGCTCTGCTGAGCCTCTTCCAGTCACTTTATGAGAGTCAGTCATGCCATGGATCAAATGAGGAGATTCCTAAAACCGAGACATTCTGTGTAGGGAAGAAGCCCCTTGGCAAGCGGAAGAGTATCACCTCGGTATTAATTTCTTACCTGTTTGTGGTGTCTTAGAGGCCAAATAAATCTGTTACATAAAATATGAAGCTTCTTGTAATGTTATGGCAAATGGCCATTGTATTCCATCTATTTTTAAAATTATTTTTTCCTTTTTACTCTCATGATAGTTTGAAGTGAACCAAACAGCCGGCTCATTGTTTGAGAAACAGTTGTTTCACGGGTGAATCGACTCCTCTTCGGCAGCCACTGGTTTGCTGAGGATTTACTTTGAACATTTCGATGGTAAGTGACAGAGTCCTCAGGTTTAAATATATTCTGATGTGAGTCACATCCAGAAAACTTGGGAAAGGGAAAAAGGAAAAAAAAGGAACACACTGGTCAAGGTTTTTGTTTGTTTGTTTCAACATTCCACATAAGGCTGGTGCCAGATGTTCACATTTCATCTTGCCTGAATAAAAATCTTTCTTATTCAAGAATGTCAATATCATTTAACAGCAAAAGCAATATAATTACACTACTCAATAAACATTTAACAAGACACAGACATTTTCAGCTAAAAGAGGACTTACCAGAATGTACCTTTTAGCAATTTAGTAGTTAAATTAGTTTCAAAAAAATCTATTTTTTTAAACAACATCTGGTGAACAGTCTCTAATTTCTGCAGTTTTGGAATGAAAAGGCGCTGCCCCAGTTCATTGCTACGAACAATTTGCTGGTTGTTTACCTTAATGCCAATCTCACCCCCCCGCCAGACACATATATTTCAAATGTGTTTTCTATATTTGAAAAAACCCAGCAAATTCAGATTCCTGGGGACGAAGTTAATGCCATTGAGTTCACCAACTGTCACCTGCTTTAAGATGTCGTGCTTCTCTTAGCACAGAGGAATCAGCCACATTGTAAAGAAAAATGATGTACTGGCTATGCCTTCGCGTCAGTTTGCCACAGTACCCTGATAGGCCAAGTGCCGGGAGGAGGGAGGGAGGAGGTGACACTGTAATCCCCTTGATCTCACTTGATCTCAGCTGGTAGTTTCCGTTTCCTCCTCTTCTTTGAGCTGATGCAGTTTGAGATACATTAACACGAATGATCTGAAAGGATTGAACATGGCTGCTAACCCATAGCAGAGTCACCAGTCCCACTCAGGCCTGTCAATGTCATGACAGTGGCATACAGGATGGCAGTGAGGAGCACCAACAGCCTGAAACACTTATGTGGTTCCATATTTTAATCTAGTTGCTTAAGCCCCCTCCTTTAATTTTTTAAAGGTTTTATGGCTGAGTTAATTTACATGCCTGGCTCACCAGGACAATATTGGGCTGTATTTTGCTTTGAAATGTATGACAACAGTCATTGACATATATCAGAGGTCAAAACGTAGATCGTTGTTAGAGCAACACCTTGTACTGATTAAATATGTTTCCTCTATGAAACACAAAGTGTGCACACATTCACAGTGTGGATCTTTGTACAATTTTCAAGGGCAATGTGCAGCTTCAGCTTATGGATGAGAAAATAAAGATTAAGGGCCTAATGCAAAAGCAGAAACGTTGGTCCTTGCTGGGAGGCAGAGCTCCTTAGTGGGAAGAAAGTTGGGCTGTAAGTCAGAGGACTAGGTTATGGTATAAATTTTGCCATTAGCTATGGCATATTGGATAATTCCTCTCTTTTTTCAGTGCCCTTGTTTTGGCATCTGTAAGTTCAATGCATTTTTGTATCTTCAGAACTGTAGATGTATAGTTGAAAGAAGTATTTAGTCATATGACTTCCATAAAACCCCTTGGAAACAAGTTCAACTGTGTGTGCACAGAATGGGAAAAGATCTTTTCTCCATCTCGCAGGGAGGTGTGTTGTGAGAGGCTGCTCGTCCTGGGAGATAAGATCCCTAAGGGCACTGCTAGTGAGACGATGGTAGATTGCCACTGGAAGGTTGGCTGTGGGGTTTTGTTCTCCTGAGCGGGTTTTGCAAAGCGAGGACAAGAGCTTAATATTTGGATTAGGTCTTATTAGGGAAGAGAAGACAAGGGTTGAGATAGTCGTCAGGCAAGAGAAACTTTAAGGGAGAGAACAAAACTGCTTAATTGGGTTTTGGATTCAATTTCCTCTGGGAAACGCGACTTAGTCTTTTACCCACAAATCTTAAGTGAACCATCCCATGTGTGCCCATGCATTGCCTCGTTGGACTGTTTTGAAAACAGGTAGAAGTGCTGAGTGTGGTTTTCAGATCACATTGCATTTCAGATAGGGCCGTCCCATTTCGGGGGCTTGCCTACACGTTAACAAATAGTCCTGGAGAGGAAATGTCGTGTCAGACATCTGAAGGATATGGCAATGTGAGCTACAAGGAGAGTGTCCTGTTACTGTATACGGCTTTAAAAATAGTCCCAGGATTATTTAAGTTCTTCATAATTTAGGTTTCATGCCACTGGGAGCATACAAAATACATGGCTTTCCATCCTGCTTCGTCCTCCTTTTGCATGTGGACAGGTTCAATGTCTTCCATTTTGTTCCCCAAATTAAACATAACCAAGTGAATGGATTTTATCTTCTCAAAGAGCAAGAGGAATTAGTTACACATGAAGAAGCTGAGAATGTAGCTCCGTGTAAAGAAGATGATGTTTTCTTACATCTTCTATTGGATGGTAGGCACTGTGCGAGTATTAGGTATTATTACTGTCGTTAGCATTTTTCTGTGAAAGGCGAGCTTGTCAAAAATATGAAGTAGGGTCAGGCGCGGTGGCTCATGCCTGTAATCCCAGCACCTTGGGAGGCTGAGTCAGGCAGATCACAAGGCCAGGAGTTCAAGACCAGCCTGGCCAACATGGTGAAACCCCATCTCTACTAAAAATACAAGTGTGTGTGTGTGTGTGTGTGTGTGTGTGTGTGTATCTGGGCATGGTGGCTGGTACCTGTAATCCCAGCTACTTGGGAGGCTGAGGCAGAAGAATTGCTTGAATCCAGGAGACGGAGGTTGCAGTGAGCCGAGATCGTGCCCTGCACTCCAGCCTGGACGACAGAGCAAGACTCCCTCGGAGAAAAAAAAGAAAAAAAATGAAATAGGAGAAATGCATCTTCCAGTGGTAATTATCCTCTTAAGTAAACTAACCTCAAAATCCTCCAAGGATTCTGATTTTACTGGCAGGACATCATTATTATTATTATTATCTTTATTTCGAGATGGAGTCTCGCTCTGTCGCCCAGGCTGGAGTGCAGTGGCGCGATCTCGGTTCACTGCAAGCTCTGCCTCCCGGGTTCACCCCATTCTCCTGCCTCAGCCTCCCGAGTAGCTGGGACTACAGGTGCCCGCCACCTCGCCTGGCTAAATTTTTGTATTTTTAGTAGAGACGGGGTTTCACCGTGTTAGCCAGGATGGTCTCCATCTCCTGACCTCATGATCCACCTGCCTCGGCCTCCCAAAGTGCTGGGATTACAGGCGTGAGCCACCGCGCCCGGCCTGGCAGGACATTTTCAGAGCTCCCAGGTGATCTAAGGCACAGTCGAGAATAAAGAGCCACATCTTCAGAAAAGAAAACAACTATATAAAAAAAAATTCTACAAATATATATATATTTTCTACATATATATGAAATTTGTAACAGTTTTATTTGTAGCATATTTTCACTGTGATACTGATGATTGACAGATAGGGCTTTGATTATATTTAGTAGGGCAAATGACAATTAAAATACAATTAAAATTAGTCGTGGATGTCAAAGTATTTTATTCCCTTTAGTTAATACTCGGGTCTTCTTCTCATCGCTTTTTCCTTATCTTGCCAGCAGTTTGGTTCGTCTGCTCTTCAGTTTGGATTGTACTGTTCTCAGTAGATAGACAATCTCCCCCGGGCTGTCTGGAAAAATCATGCTTTTTTGAAACAGCTTATGAAAGTTCACAGCCATTTTTACTCTACAGATAAATGACTGAAATCCCTGGACTGCTACTCTAATTGTGTGAATCCTAATAGATGTGTGCTGGTATGTCCCATTGTCGTTTAAATTTGCAGTCCCCTAATGACATCCGATGTGGAACATCTTTTCACATGCTTGTTTGCTGTCTGTGTATCTACTTTGGTGTAGTGTCTGTTCAGATCTTTTGTCCATTTTGTAATTGAGTTGTTTTTCTTCTTATTACTGAGTTTTTGTTTTATTTATTTTTATTTTTTGAGACAGAGTGTTGCTCTGTCGCCCAGGCTGGAGTGCATTGGCACAATCTTGGCTCACTGCAACCTCCGCCTCCCGGGTTCAAGCGATTCTCCTGCCTCAGCTTCCCTAGTAGCTAGGATTACAGGCACGTGTCACCACGCCCAGCTGATTTTTGTGTTTTTAGTAGAGATGGGGTTTCACCCTGTTGGCCAGGCTGCTCTTGAACTCCTGATCTCAAGTGATCTGCCCACCTCGGTCTCCCAAAGTGCTGGGATTACAGGCGTCAGCCGCCACGCCTGGCCTTGTTACTGAGTTTTAAGAAAACTTTGGATATTGTGCTTATCAGTCCTTTATCAGATATGTGTTTTGCAAATACTTCCTACCAGTCTGTGGCTTGTCTCCTTAGTCTCTTAAGAGTGTCTGTTTCAGAAAAGAAGTTTGTAATTTTAATGGCGTTCCACTTAATGGAACGTCCTTTTCTAAGTGCTTTCGGTGCTCTATCTAAAGAGTCACCACCAAGCCAAGGACACCAAGACTTCCTCCTCTGTTATCTTCTAGGAATTTTAGTTTTGCATTTTACATTTAGGGCTATAATCCCTTTGGGGTCAGTTTTTGTGAAAGTTATAAGGTGTTTGTCTAGATTTGTTTTTTTGTGCGTGGATGTTCAGTTTTTCCAGCCCTGTTTGTTTTAAGCTCTATCCTTTCTCCATTGACTTGTATCTGTTGCTTTGCCAAAGATCAGTTACTATATTTGTGTGGATCTATTTCTGGCCTATAATTCCACAGGTCTATTTGTCTCTTCTTCCACCAGTACCACGTTGCCTTGATTTCTGCAGCTTTCTAGGAATTCTTGCAGTCGGGTAGTGCCACTCCTCCCACTTTGCTCTTTGTCTCACTTAGTACTTTTGCCTTGAAATCAATGAAGTTATAGTAAAGTAACAAACTCTTCTTTGTATTTGCCTAACACACTTTCACTGATAATTTTATTTTTAATGATTACATGCAGCATAATATTGGGTTTTGCTTTGTGGTACGATTTGTAAGCCTTTTTCTGTTATTAGGAATGTTCTTCCCATTTACATTTGTGGACATGCCTCATGCCATTTGTACATGTCACTATATTTAATATTATAATTTTGG